CTGAACCGCCTTCCTCCCGTGCTGAGCTCCATCAGGTCCCAGCCAGCCCTCTCCTCATCTGCGCCGCTTGACCGCTGAACCAAGACCCCCCAGCCCGCCTACAGGGGGACCCCGGGACCCAACGGGGTGAAATACCTGAGGGCAGAGCGGGGATTTGGGCCAGGGCCGTGTCCCCGAGCCCCGCTGAGCCCTTACATCCTTGGCCACCCTGGCCATAGTGATGTCCCCGTTGTGGCCAGGGAAAGGGAAGGTGTCTGTGCCCAGCAGACACGTGGGCATCTCCACCTTTGGTAAGCAGCTCCCTGGCCCCGTATTTACCTCTGGGGATCCACCCAGCTTGGGTGCTACGTGCGGAGCAGAGCCAACACCTGGTTTACAAGTGAGACCTGGTCAGAGCACAGCATGTCCCTCTCCAGACCATCTTCCCACCACCCTGATCCCAGTCACCCTCCTCCACTGCGGTGACGTGTGGCCAGCCCAAAAATGGGACTGGAGTCCCTTTGCTTGGGCTAGAAATGCCTGACTTTCAGAGCTGCCCTGCAGACCCCGCGGTTCACTCTTGGCTTTGGAAACCTCCATTAAAACGATGCCTAAAATACAACAGAAGCCACCAAATCTTACACTCAGCCTCTTGCCATTCCCTGGAGCCCCCCGCAGCCGTGGCGGCATCACGCCCAAGCTCAACCTCTCCAAAATCCCATTTTCCACGTTAAACCCCGATGCAATTTGTGTCGGGCTTTGCAGAGGTTCCTCCCCATCACCACGGACGCTCGCGGGACTGGCCGACCTCGGCGCGTCTGGGCACAGGGCCCCGCGGAGGTTTCCCCGCCGAAGCGGTTTCCCTCTCCGCCTCCAACTTTCTCTTTTTCCACGAATTCGTCAGCTTCCCTCCCGCCCCCCTCCCCCCCACCGCCTCGTCTGGAAATGCAAAACCAGACGTCGCCGCACACATCTGCTCACATCTGGGCTTGCGTTATGAGCCGCGCAGGCTCGGGGTAATCCAACTGCGTGCTTTTAAGCCATCTGTTTTGGGGTTTTTTTAACTCGTTACCTGGATCAGACTGCTCAAAGCCAGACACTGAGGATGAGCGGGGCAATGCCACCTGGGAAACCATAGAATCACAGACTGGTTTGGGTTGGAAGGACCTTAAAGCTCATCTAGTTCCAACCCCCAGCCCTGGACAGAGACACCTCCCAGCAGCCCAGGTTGCTCCAAACCCCGTCCAACCTGGCCTTGAACACCTCCAGGGATGGGGCAACCACAGCTTCTCTGGGCAACCTGGACCAGTGCCTCACCACCCTCACAGGAAAGAATTTCTTCCTTAGATCTAGTCTGAATCTCCTCCCATCACTCCCCTCCCTGATCAAGAGTCCCTCCCCAGCTTTCCTGGAGCCCCTTTAGGGACTGGAAGGGGCTCAAAGGTCTCCCCAGACCCTTCTCTTCTCCAGACTGAACACCCCCAACTCTCTCAGCCTGTCCTCCCAGCAGAGGTGCTCCAACCCTCGCAGCATCTCCGTGGCCTCCTGTGGCCCCGCTTCACCATGAGATGCTTTAACATTGGCCACCTGCACCCTCCTTTGTCAAAGCATCAACCCCTCCAGCTCTGGTTGGAGACATCCTGGGGAAACCATCTGCCAAAATACCCATCAGCCGGTGGCTGCGTGCTCCTGCCTCCCACTGTGGTGGCCTTGCCTCTCTCCCAACCCACCCCACAGTCCATCTCGGATGCCGTAAATAGGACTCCACCATAAACCACAGGATTTTATGGGCCAGCGGGAAGCTTTATTAGGTTAATTATACTGCCATGCTAATGAGGGTGCAGTTAACCACATTCAAAATCAAGGGCTGGCTTGACCTTCTCCCAAAGACTTCTGGAAAGGTGGGAGGCAATGGGTGCTGGTGATAGGGAGGCAATGGGGAGGTCATGAGTAATGGTGATGGGGAGGTCACAGGTGCTGACAACGGGTGCTGGTCATGGGGAGGTAATGGGGAGTTAATGAGGAGATGATGGGTTCTGGTCACGGGGAGGTAATGAGGAGGTGATGGGTGCTGGTCATGGGGAGGTCATGGGAGCCAACAATGGGTGATGGTCATGGGGAGGTGATAGGTGCTCGTGATGGGGACATCATGGGTGCTGGTGGTGGGAAGGTGATGGGTGATGGCAGTGAGAGGGTGATGGCAGTGAGGAGTTGATGGGGAAACAAAAGCCCCAGAGGCTTCCAGCTTCACTCAGCACCAAGGGACACCCAGGATGGAGAAACCCCTTCCTCCTTAGCAAAGTGACCCAGGGTCCCTCCACCCAGCCCACCTTCATTTTGGAGCTCAAAAACTCTCCCCACAGCTTGAACAAGCACCTTAATCCTCCCGGGTTTTGAAAACACCCGGTTGCCTGTTGGTGTTTGCTTCTCCCAGCTGGGTTCGAGCCAGCTCCCCCTCCTCTTGGCTCCCTGCTTGGCTGCCTGGGGCTTTTTCACAGCAATTTTGATTCGATCTTATTAAATCTGGAGCAGAACAGCAAGCGCGGGCAATTAGACAGACAATTAGGGAGCAGCTCGTTGCACAAGAGGAGCTGCCAGGACCTCCCCTCCCCGAAACGCACTCGCGAGGCAAGTAGTGCCGTGCCTCTCGCCAGACAGGTTCCCAACGTGGCTCGGCCGATTTCTCCCTGCAACTGCAGTGTTCTACATGCCCAGAGTTTTTTCCAGATGAGGTTTTCCTCAAGGTGGTGATCCCCTCCCAGACTTTGTCCCACGTGGAGGCCCCATTTCCTGTGTGCTCCTCAATTGTCCCGTGGGTTGGCTTCTGTTTTGTGGCCTTCCTGCAAATCCCACAGCTCTAATTCCTCATTGGGTTAAACTGGGACAAACTGGTACCATTTTCTTGTAGCCAAGAAAGTCAAACTATCTTTTGCTTGCAGGTGATCATCTGGTCCATTAGCTCCTTGGCCCAACTGCTGAAGGTCGCTTGGCTGTTGTGGGCACATAGGAAAGAGGACTGGATGGTTGGAGGGACAGTTAGATAGATGGTAATGTGAATGCATGGATGGATGGACTGATGCGCAACTGGAGGGATGGATGGATGGATGGATGGATGGGTGGATGGATGGATGATGAGTTGACTGGATGCACAGTCGGGTGACTGGATGGACGGTTGGACTGGATGTATGCACACATAGATGGATGGCTGGGTGGATGGCTGGTTGGTGAGATGGATGGATGGATGGATGGATGGATGGATGATAACATGGTTAGGTGGATAGATGGACATACAGATGAATGGTTGGATGGCCAGGTGGATGGCTGGTTGGTGGGATGAATGGATGGATGGATGGATGGATGGATGGATGGATGGATGGATGGATGATAACATGGTTAGGTTTATGGATGGACACATGGATGGATGGGTGGGTGGATGGATGGATGGATAGATACATGCATGAATGGATGAACAGATAAATGGGTGGATGGATGGATGGATGGTAGGATGGATGGGCAGATGGACAGCGAAATAGTCCTCATTGTCATTTGCCTCTCAACCCTGCAGTACTCCCTTCTGTGAGGGATGAGTAAAAATGAAAGCAGGCCACTACCACAGGGTTAACCCTCACTCAGCCCTGGGGTTAACCCCTGACTAACCAGGGAGGATTCATGACACATCTCACCTGATCCACGACCACGTCAGCTGCCCTGGGGGCTGTGGGGCCATTCTCGGGGAGCCCGGAAGAGGCATCATTGCTGATTCAGGTCTCCGTCAGCACGGAGCACATCAGCTCCAGGCAGCCAGGCTCTGCCTGGACCTGCACAAGGCAACTCTCCCTCAGCAGGTTTGACATGCTACCAGTATCGCCGGGGTGGTCTTGGGGCTGGGGAGACTGGGGGGTCCTCTCTCAACCCCGCCATGCAGGGCTGGAGGGCTTTGCACAGCTCCAAACCCCACCAAAATTGACTTAAAATAGCCAAAAACTGTGTGTATCACCCTCCTTCCACCAGCACCCCGCCTCTCCCCGAAACCACTGCTTTACTGCAAGCCGCAGTGCAAATCCTTTAATTAAGGGGTTCGTTAGGAGCCAGGCCCACAAAATGCCACCGGCAGAGCAAGCAGGACAGCAGCTGGGGTGGCCCAAGGGGACTGGCGGTCACCCTTCTCCAGCACCCCGAAACCGCCCTGCCCGCTCCACCAGGGTCCAGCTGAACCCGTGGCTCTGCCTCTCCCACGTGCCCCAGCTCCTGCCTCCGCCTTCTCCTCCTCCTCCTCCTCTGGGGAGAGGCACGTTGGAGGGAGGAGGCCCCATCCACACCTCCCTGTCGGCGCCACGGCGTGCCGGGGCAGAGCCGCGTGCGAGTGGGGAACGCCATGGCCGAGCGGCTGTCGGAGGAGCAGATCGCCGAATTCAAGGAGGCTTTTTCCCTTTTTGACCGGGATGGAGACGGTTGCATCACCACGAAGGAGTTGGGCACCGTCATGCGCTCGTTGGGGCAAAACCCCACCGAAGCGGAGCTGCAGGACATGGTGGGGGAGGTGGATGCCGACGGCAGCGGCACTGTCAATTTCCCCGAGTTTCTCTCACTGATGGCGAGGAAGATGAGGGACACAGACAGCGAGGAGGAGATCCGCGAGGCTTTCCGCGTCTTTGATAAGGATGGCAACGGTTACATCAGTGCGGCGGAGCTGCGGCACGTCATGACCAACCTGGGTGAGAAGCTGACGGATGAGGAGGTGGATGAGATGATCAAGGAAGCTGACTGCAACAATGATGGGCAGGTCAACTATGAGGAGTTTGTGAGGATGATGACGGAGAAGTGAAGCCCCCCGTACCCACCTCCAACCCTGTCCTGCAGGTAACTCCCTGGGATGCAGCTTTGCACCCAACCCCATGTATACGGGAAGTCCCAGACCATGGGATCCACCTCACCCATCGCAACGGCCACTCCAAATCTTGCATCTCCCCCATTCCAACCACCTCCTGCTCTGCAACTCTTGCTGGCAGTTGGAAAAATCTATGTTCATAGTACCTTTTTTTTTTTTTTAATTTTCCTTTAATTTCTTCATAGGGAACAGAGTTTGTGGTGGTCCCCCAACCCCTCCATCCCCTACCGGCTTCTCTCCACCGTCCCGGGATGGGAAAATCCTCTTTTATCCCAGCCGGAACATCACCAGCCAGTGTCTGCGTTGGATGCGGGTGTCCCACCTGGCAGGATGGGGCTTGGGTTGCAGATGGACATGGCG